CTATCACGAGCCTAGGTCGAGCCGTTTAAATTTGTGCCACAATTTTGCATTTCCTCCCTATACCTTAAGTTAAGGGAGGAATGTTCCCCCTTCTTTTACACCTCTTGACCTTTGACCTTTGACCCCCAGCTTCGACATCCCAACTCGTTTTCGGATTACCCCCCCACGTCCCGAATATCGTGACCGTACGTCGAGCCGTTTAGATTTGTGCCCAACTGTTGACGGACGGACGGACGGACGGACGGACGCTCGCACGGACGGACGGACGGACGGACGATCATGCGATTCTACAAGCTGCATCTGACTATGTCAGATGAGCTAAAAATGCTGCGGTATCCAGGGAATGATGCGGGCCTGAAATTTGCCTGGCGGGCCTGTAAAATCCCTTACCTACAGGACCGGCGGGCCTGTAAATTTTCAAACTAATTTCTACCCCTGGGTATGATTGTAGAGTAGTTAACCAGTTAGACAAAATAATCGTAATAGGACCTTGTCATCTCTCCCATAGGAGTAACACCTGTTTTGGGGCTAGCCTTACACATTCACATACCAAAATTTAACAAAATCGAATGAATTTAGATGGCCATTTTCATTTTTGCCAAAAAGTGGGCGTGGCTCGAAAGTACGTCAACTGGCGTGCTCCAAATAGAACGTTCAAATCTCTCCCATAGGAGTAACAACTGTATGCAATTTTAAACATGTGGGTCAAACGGTTCATCAGTTATTGATGACCGTAGGCAGACCAGGGAAAAAAATATAATTTATTTTTCGGGGGCTACTTTTCAAGCTCGCGTGCATGAAAATAGCACTCTAAAATTTGGTTTGCATTGAACTCTATGCAAATTTCCGGGGGCTCTTTTTGGAATTTCGGGGGCTAAATCGCCCCGAGCCCCCGTGTATTTTTTTCACTGAGGCAGACACTGAAATGCATAATGAAATTGCCAAAATCTACCTAATTTGCATAATTAAAAAAAATAGCAAAACCCGTGTGATATGTTTTGGGGCCAGTCCTTATTCATTCACATACTAGAAATGAGCAAAATCCTTTGAACCTGAACTGACTTATGGCCATTTCCATTTTTGCCAAAAAGTGGACGTGACTCGAAAGTAGGTCGACTGGCGTGCTCCAAAATAGGACGTTCAAACCTCTCCCATAGGAGTAACAACTATATACAATTTGAAACATGTGGGTCAAACTGTTCTTGAGTTATCATTGACCGTTGCCAAATGTTGACAGACGGACGTACGACGGACGACACCCCATGACGATGTCAAGGCGAGCTAAAAATGAAGATCAAATAAGATCTTTACAGCCTAATCTATTTGTCCTCTCACATAACGATGTGTGAAAAACATACCGTTGTTCCTAACATTCTGGTAATGTTCTGGCCCCACAGGTTTCTCTGCCTCCTGCTGGGCCTGCTTCTCCCACGCTTCCCTCTCCCTCTCACGACGCATGTCTTCAGATAGCAAGTCTGGATTTTCGGCCCTCTCTCTGTCGAAACAAACACAATACCAGTTACACTTACAGACACGATACTCTCCTTATTATTTCAGGAGATGGTCATCGCACAAACAAGTTTATGTGTCGAATAAACACCAAGCAGGAGTATAGATTATCGAATAAACACCAAGCGAATAAAACAGAGGCGCAAAATTGTGGTATGCCGCAAATTTCCATATTCACTGCAGCTATCTATGCTGTGAAATAATCTCACAATCTATCCATTACCGATGAGAACGAGTCCTTGCCACGCCCAATGCATTACGACAGACGAGCGACATAACATAACTACGCCGTGCGCCTCATCTGCACAAGATTGATCCTACTAAATCTTACCATATACATCTAATAGTAGGCACAATATATCTAACTGTTTTACTTACTCAGCTCCTCTGCCTAGATCTCTATCCATTTTGATTACATCTGGAAGGTCCTTCTTTAAGCATCGCCTTGACCTCCCCAACGCGTCTGTGTAGTCGACCCTTAAATCCATAGCATAGGATCAAACAAACTCACAAGCAACTTACTCTACAATAAGTCTAAGATTACACTTATTGGTTGTTTATAATTATATATAAGTAGATTGTATCTTAACTTAAGAATATTAATTAAATATGAACCAATGCCTCATTAGATATTTAGCGAATAATTTATCTGCAAAGCTACAAAAAATCTTGTTATAATAATCTATTCTGTTTGCTAGATGACTAACGACACAGAGGCATTTATAAGCGTATCACAGGACCAGGCATTGCAATTTTCTCCTCACCATTCCGCCTCGAGACTATCAGCGTCAGTCAGATCTGTCGACATCTCTCCATCGGCTTCATCCTCTGCATTCTTCTTCTTTGGCGGCCTTCCCCTCTTTTTTGTCGGTGTTGCCATCGTCTCTCTAAATTCAATAAAACACAGTTACACGTTACTAAAACCCCCTAAAACTAAGCGACCTATGTGCACAACAAAGATTCCTGATCTAACCTAGTGTATACTGTATCCAATTTGGAATTAATTAGGCAACTGCAGATCCAACCCCTTGAAAATACTATAAACAATCTACCAACCAATAATCTGCCACCTTCGTTACATGAGCGTTTGCTCCAAACAACATGAAATGCTTTGTGTACACAGGGCTTCAGGTTACTGTCAAAACTAAGCAAGGTTGAAGTTCGTGTTTCAGGCATTAACTGATCTACGTTTGGCTTTGGATAGCACAAGCCTGTGTGATCGAACTTTTATCAGGGAATGCGACGCGATACAAATTAAATAAAAAATAGAATGAGTGCTTCACTGAATCCTTCCACTCCATTCCCCCTCTAAGTTGATTGGTCACGTACTTGGCTTTCCTTTCGAAGTCCACCAGAAATCGATCTGTATTTTCTAGATCTGACGCTGCCAATCCAGATGACATGTGTTCATATAGTTTCACCTTAGCTTCAAGAGCCGCCCTACATACAACCACACATTACTAGTCAAATAAACACATTGATTGACCAGTTTCATTCATATCGAAATTCACATGAGAATGAACATTAACAACACCAATGAATTTTTACGCTTCCTTATACCTTGAATTGCTAAAGCTCTTCTCCTCTTCTTCATGTTGCTCTATATCTCGCTCTGATCTCTTCTCAATGCCAACGTTTTTCTTGCTCCAAGGCAAGGGTTTCTACACAGGTAGTTATGTATCAGTTTTAAGACTCCACTTCAACACATTACACAAGTTATGCAAAATACAAGATCTGGCAGTTTCCATATTTTTCTACCCATTAGTTACACAACAGATGTCTGTGTCACTACGTACTTTATCTCCTGCTGCAGCGCGTGACCTTGTAACTCTGGTCCCTTCACCTTCGGCTTGAAATTTGTCCCGTCTGGCCTGCTCCTGTTTTCTAGCAAGTTCTGCCTTAAGATCGACCAACTGTAAATGGAAGCAATACACGCAAGTCCATCTCAGTTTCACTGTGTGTATGTATGCTGTGCATCTGGAGACTTTAGCAGATAGAACACTAGACTTTACAAGAACCACCCAGATTAGAATTAACCTAGTCATTTACTACTACCACGCTTAATTATGCAATTTTCCTCGGCTTTTTGGATTTAGTGTGATATAAAATTATGCAGGGGGTCTGTAGGATCTAATATAATTGCAATCTTTATCTTGATAATGCAAGTATAGAAAATGTAGAAATTAATATATGGGACATAAAAAGAATGGTCTAGCACTGCTGTCACTGTTAGTAAGACAACTGTGTCATATTACCATTGACTCACTTGACAAAGAATACACAGGCGCATGTTTATATACAAGCTCACTAAATGCACACAAAAACTAGTTGGTAGATGTGGAAAGTAGAGTAACATTGACAATAATGATATGTTTCTATATTAAAAGGAGATTCCCTCAAACTTTCCACGTAAATTTGTGTAACAAACCAGTGTAAAAACGTCAGTAAATAACTCACTACACTTTAACTGAACGTTAGCTTTGAAAATAAAACTGTAAAAATATGTATCAAGCCTATATTTGCTCATCGAAGAAACAACTCGAAAAACGCTTTTCGCTGCGGTTCCGTAGGCGCCATATTGTTTATATTTGAGCAACCATAATTTCAATCGAGTCAATGTAGCCACTTTCAGATATCATAACTTTTAATATAGATCATTTTATGAAATCAAACTTTGTAGTCTAGACAGTCTGACAGAGAGACACCTCGGCTGTTTTTTATTAATTTCTGAATTTTTACCGTAACCATTTTCGAGATAGAACGTGCTAAAACCCCAACAAAACGTAATCCGAACCTGACAGCGACCTGACCTGACAGGACTCTCGACTCACTCACTCGCTCGCTCAGAATACTATAATCTCCCAGCAACAAAAACGTTGCCCTTTCTCTATCAGCTAGCCATGTACGTGACCAGAAAAACCATTGGCCGTGTATGCCAGTGTATAATTTTAAATAGCATGGTTCATACATACATAACACGGCAAGTGTGCGGTGCGGAACAATCGCCGCATAGCAGCAATGGTAACCTTTCGGTCGACCCAAACGTTTCACTTTGTAGTTTAAAAGCTTTGAATGAACGTATTCCTGAGCAATTTTTTTTCACCTATCACACATATATAGGCAGGTACAAGCATACAATGATAAAATAATTCATTTTTGCCTAATTTTATATTTGCCGCTTGAAAGATCAAAGGAATCTCTCTTTAAGTATTTGTTTGCAGCACTTGTTCACACGTTTGTTGCAGTTCCCGGAGCAAATGCTTCAAGTACAACACACAAATTCACAAACTGGCTTTCCTATACGTATATACAGACAAAAAATAATAACTACAGTTTAGAAAAAACCAGAGGGTTATGGAGGTTCGGGCGCACTGGAACGTGCAATGTTATCAACTCATATGTACACAAGGGGAAAATGCAAGTATGTCAGTAGGCCTAGACTAGTATCAGACTAGTGATGCCTGATGAGTGATGTATACCACATAATCAAGACGTTTCTTAAATATATACAGTAAGAAATATTTAGACATTTGGTTTCTAATACAGGATTATGATATAGCTACGAAGTTATAATAACCTCATAACCTCATAAGTGTTAATCTTCAAACTGACAAAAGTCCTGGGGAATATAACGAAGATGGAGAGAGAAGTGGATCAAGTCGGTAATAGTACTAATACTAATAATAAGACAACTTTTCGACCTTTTCCATACCGAGCAACCGATAAAGAGACTGTAACAGGTGCTCTATTAGCCACAAGTTCCCTTCTCGCTTAACACTACGTTGGCGTACGACGTGTAACAGTCGGAGAGCCTGGTCGGGCTAGTGCTCTATAAATATAATACCGTTACCGGTAGACCTACGATTACGAACGAGTACGAGTACGACGGCTGTTAAGATAAGATTACGCTATTACCGAAGAGCCACCGACGTCGATCTTCTTTGATTTGGGGCTTCGTTTATCACTCATTATTTAAAATTGTACTTTTGGCTTCAATATTACGCATATGAGGATTTTGATGTCAGAAATATAAGAAATTTAAGATCAACACACAAAGGAATCAGCCATATTGAAATTGTTTACCTCCTGCTTGAGAAGACATTTATTATTTTGACATAAATATTTGCGCTGTCCTCTATAATCAAAAGAATACGTGCGTATAAGTAGTTTTATAAAAACAATTATTGTTGAAAAATATATCAAATATATTAATTGGGCATTTAAGCAAGCTTAATCAAACAAAAATACTGTCTATGAAATTTGTTATATCGTAACATATCTCTCTGGATTGGAAAGGCATATCGCTCATGGTTCAAGATTCTGTCACTACGTAGCAGCGTAGCAGCACTCATTCTTTGCGCTAGTTGTTGTGGTTTTTCAGTTTGAATAAGTTTGAATAACTATTCTTGGTAATTCCTTGATATTATTATTAACGCTGCTGGTAGGCCTATGTGGTTCGGGTCACGATAAATTGTTTATTAATTCATAAGTTTTATGGAATCTTACGGACAACACACATCAGCAAGTCACGCGTATACTGTAGACAGCCTGAGCCTTTGCGACAACAAATGGCCCCTTTCTTGCTAGAAATTAGTTGACAACACCTTCAAGATGACCTCTGTCAATTTTTAAGACTGTACCCCCACATTAACCAAACTCACGACATGGGTGTGTAAACGCTACTCTGAGCGACAGTAGCACAGGCACTTGGAGTTGGAATGTCTCAATAAAAAAAAAAAAAGGTAAATAAACACGAAATGTATTTACTACCAGTACTGCCAGTACCAAAGTCTTAATGTTTCTCTACTCTATTTCGCCTATAATCACGTGTAAATGCCGGTCAAATGCTCAGCTGCAACACACAAGTACACCGCACGCCTGCCCTTGACGTTTATTCCTTACGGACTGTCCAGTATAGAAGTAGAAGTAGAAGAAACAACATGAATAAGAGAGCAGGTAGGAAAGCGTGATCGCAAAATTTGCTCTACGCTCGCTTCATTTCACACCTTCACAGCACGAATACACATCCAACAGCTTCCATCTTGGTATCTATGTGTAGATAAATGTTCACTTGTTCGAATTATAGCTCTGTCCTTTGTCCTTACCTACTCCCGCCAGAGATATCTCGTGAAATCCTGCAGGGAATGTTCTATCCGTGAAAATGTAAAGACAGTGTAAAGAGGACGTATCATCCGAAAAGCCCTAACGGCGCTACTTTCGATCGATCACTGTAGTCGTGTGTGTGTGACGTCATTGCTGCGCGCATTATGCTTGGCTTGGCGGGCCTCAAAACGGAGGCTCGGAGGCCGGCAGCAGCTCATCCCGGCATGCAATGTGCCGCCATTACTCGTGTATAAACAGACATCTCGTCCTCTTTACACTCTCTTTACATTTTCACGGAGATAACATTTCCTGCAGGATTTCACGAGATATCTTTGGCGGGAGTAGGTAAGGAGAAAGGACAGAGTTATAATTTGAACAAGTGAACATTTATCTACACATAGATACCAAGATGGAAACTGTTGGATGTGTATTCGTGCTGTGAAGGTGTGAAATACCTTGAAAGCGAATTTTGCGATCACGCTTTCCTACTTGCTGTCTTTAAGACTCTTATTCATGTTGTTTGTGCACAGGGCGGGCGTGCGGTGTACTTGTGTGTTGCAGATGAGCATTTGATCGGCATTTACAGGTGATTATAGGTGAAATAGAGTCGAGCAACATTAAAGGCATAATAAGCCCATTGATTCAGCAATGTTGACGAATGCTAGAGTAACTGGCACCGTGTGTAGTTAATAAGTACGTAGCCTTATAGCCTAACGCGTATTAGTTTGTCCAATATCACTGCTGGTTACATTACAAGCAAGACTTGAAATCGGTTGTTGATATTCATTTACGTGCCGTAAATGTCATCCAGGAGTCAAGCAATGAGTCGCCGATGACGTAAACATTTGTGCGGCCTATATGTTTTGGACGCCAGATGAAATGGAGGTGTGGGAGGTGTAACCACGGCCACAGACTAGACATGGAAATGACGTAAAACACACGTACTAATCACGGACGCACATGGACAGCCCTGACAAAAATTTGCTTATCACGAGCGTCCGTGTTTACGAAATCACTAATGATAGCATTGCGTACGGCCGAGCATGCGTGCGAAAATGTCCGGTGCACTATAAATCTGTATCACACCCGCTTCGCCGGCAGCGGTTTGAAACTGTACAACTGATTTCTTGGACTGCGGATTTCAAGTAGACATTTCTTAGTAACCAGCAGTGATATTGGACAAACTAATACGTGTTTGGCTATAAGGTAATGTACTTATTAACTACACAAGGTGCCAGTTACTCTAGCATTCGTCAACATTGCATAATCAATGAACCTATTATTCCTTTATGACTGGTAGTAAATACATTTCGTGTTTATTTACCTTCTTCTTTTTTTTATTGAGACGTTCCTAGTGCCTGTGGACAGTAGTGTAGTGTATGACATTGCAGGTCTACCGGCGTTCGCGTACAGGCCCGTCTCCACACACGCGGCACGGAACGCCACGGAAACGGCGTCGTTTACCCCTACCGGCAAAATTCAAATTTATTATATCTTATGGCGCAGTCTCCACTGACATGGCACGGCGCCAGCCCGGTTTCACGGCGACGGCGAAAGTCAAATGAGTTTGACCTTTGCCGGCTGCCGTGTACGGAGAAAGACAGTTGAACCAATCATTGAATCAACGCGATTGTTTTTTATCATGTGTTCTGCTCACGCCACCATCAGCCAATGGACAACAAGCACATGCATAATTTCTGATCACTGAACCAAAGTGAACACAATCACAATGCGCGAAATGTGTTTTTTTTCAGCACAACGGCGCTGCGTTTTGCTGTGTCGTGTCGTGCCGCATATGTGGAGACATAGCTTTCTACCACTAGCCACAGGCACTTGGAACGTCTCAATAAAAAAAATAATGGTAAATAAACACGAAATGCATTTACTACCAAAGTCTTAAAGGCATAATTCGACCATTGATTATGCAATTTTAACGAATGCTACAGTAACTGGCACCTTGTGTAGTTAATAAGTACATTACCTTATAGCCAAACGCGTATTAGTTTGTCCATACCTGCTGGTTACTAGAATATCCATTGAAATCCCGCGGTAAATAAATCCGTTGGTTTCAACCTGCTTGTCCGGCGTAACGGCTGTCACGGCGAGCGTGTCATAGATTTAGTGCAACGGCATTTGCAGTACATGCTCGGCGCTCAGTATTTCTATCTTGTGTTGACGTGCGCATCGTCCGTCTATGGTATTTACTCTGGGATTCTGGGAATAACATAATATACGAATCTTGAGATTACAAGCAACATAATATGTGCACTAAGCATATAAATAGGAAAACATTACCGGGACAAACATTCGATGCTCAACTCCTGTAGACAAGTTGCCGTCACGACAACTCATGTTTTTTGTGGCATAAATTTAGCATGCGCAGTTCAATTATCGGATTTCAATTAAATTTGCTTAGTAATTTAGCAGTATATTGACAAACTATCTCGTTTGGGCTTAGGTATGTACATATTAATACACAAATCCAGTACTGTCAGCATTCGTCAACTTTGCATAATCGATGGTCGAATTATCGGTATGTTTCTATTCTATTGCTATAATTACCTGTAAATTGCTGGTCAAATGTCATCTTCAAGACCAGTACACCGCACGCTAGCGTTGCACACTGCCATAATTTGTATAATATAGGTATATTTATGTGTCAGTGCTGACTTGGTAGTGCTGCTGTGTTGGTGTGCAGATGAGCATTTGCGGCTTCGTGATTATAGGTGAAATGGTAGAGAACATTTAGCTTTGTAGTATAAAGGATTTGTTTATTTCTTTTTTTAGCTCATCTACATATAGTGCAGTGGAATAGTAGATCTCTTCGATGTGTGCTGCCCTGCAGTGCGTCCGTCCGTTGCGTCTGTCACGATTGGGGCACAAATTTAAGCTCGAGGAGGGATGATATTTTGGGGACGGGGGGTGAGTCTTCAAAGAGTTGATGCGAAGTGGGGGTCAAAGTCAAAGTCAGAACGGTGTAAAGAAGGGGAAATTCCTCTTATTAGAGGTATTAGGAGGAAATGCAGATTCGCCACAAATCTAACGGCTCGACCTAGGTCTCGTGAGTGTGTATAGCATCATGGTAGAGAAAGCCCACAGTGCCGAAATTGGAGGTCAAGGTCAAAGGTCAATGGGGCCAGGATTTAGACATTTTCTGAGGACTGTCTGGCGAGCGATTGAAAACTTTTTTGTTTTCAGCAGGTGAACTAGCATTTTTATGGCTCTTATTGAAGGGACCAGAATGTACTTTCTGCTGACATGTAGAGTAATGTCGATACCTATTTGACCCCAGACAGAAGGGTTAAACATGGATGTTGTTGACTGTTAACAAAGCTGAACTGTCTTTGCTATTGTGGATGTGAGGCTACGGTTGCCGCAGTTCAATTGCAAAGCAATGTTTGTTGAACAAGGTTTACGCTCCTTAAATCATATTATTTTTAAAGCAGTGATTAGCCCTCGATAGCACCTGTATAGACACTGTAATGAACCCTGAATGCCACGGTCGTAGCAAGAAACTATGGGGAGCCTTACGATGCTGGGGTGACTGGCACTATTCCTAATCTATTATGCCTGGCACCTGGCAATGCAGATGTTGTTAACGTCACAGCTGAGCGAATTCTCGCCTGCTGATATACTTGGATTTGTAGCAAATCAATGGGAGTGAGGTATCAGCACAAGGGTAGATGCCATCTTTGATATTGATGAACTGTGCAGCGCCAATCCTCGCGGCAACTGCTTTGTTTAAGCCCCCTCACCCGCCCCCTCCCCACTCTTCCCCACCAACCACTACGCGCGACGCTTGAGCCATATCCATTACATGTAATAATAACGAATATATAAAGTTACCCTGTATCTTTATTACTGTACTACCGGTATAGCAAAGCCTAGCTATCATAGATTTTAGATCTGTATTAGTAGTATCCTAGATATATGCTCTGAGCGCGAACGCGGTGATGGGAGGGTGCTCTTCATTTGTTTGCCAGTGAGTTTAGCATCAGAACACCTGCCGTCAGGTGAGCGCTGTCGCTCTGCGGCACTTGTTTTAATGAGACGTTCCAAGTGCCTGTGCCGCTAGCGTTCTCTTTTGGAAAAGGCAGTGGCTGGAGGTACGGAAGCCGTATCTCTAATTTACGAGGCTAGAGGTACGGCAGTCCATTCGCTTTCATACTTAACGAGACAAAGATGGCGGCGGATGGCGGCAGATTTCGAAGTAACGCTTTGGGAAATAAGTTCACGATTTGAGAGTTTTGATGTGCTAGTACTAGTAGAAACACTCGGATTAGGTATGAAAATGAACATTATTGTAAACTTTACTTCAGAAGATCGCAAATAATTGCCTCAGCCCTCAAACAAATGCCAAAAGGGGGGTTCAACGAACGACGTCTGCCGTACCTCCAGCCACTCCGTTTGCAAAATGCGACAAATAAATAACAGTGGCGATTTTACTACACTAAGTCACAGTAAGTGGCAAATGATTTAACTGTTTACAAAATTACGATTGAATAATGAAATCGTCAAATTTGCATTGTCGTGTCGTAATGTTTTTGTACACCTCTTTTTCGCATTGTTATCACGTGTGTTTATGCCTTGCTTGGCACATACGATAAAGTGAACCATGGCTATAGTTTTTCATTGACTTTGGTGGCTCAAGTCTTGGCTCTAACTTCAAAACATCCAGACGGAGCCCTGACATGTAAGTGGTCGTTCACAATTATTAATATTTTGACAAGCGTACAAACCGTACGCTTTTTCGAGACCCCCCCCCCCCTAAAAGTGTACGAAGAAAAATGTTGATTTTTTTTCACTCTATTCTACATAGAGATACATGTTTATGAATTACATGCAAACCCTGTTATAACGAGCACGTGTATAACGAAATCTTGATATAAATAATGAAATTTTCTGGCACAAACAAATGGAAACAGATCAAAATTATTGAATACTGTTTATAATAAATATGATTTTATTAAGCCGGGGCTCATCGTGGCATGAGGATGTGCGCGATGCCGGCTGGGGCGTGCGGCGCGGGGAAATGGATCGACATTTTCGGAAATGCTGAAAGGGTACGGCGGGCATTGACCCCCTCCCCCTGAGCGTACGGTTTGTACACTTGTGAAAATGTTGTTAATTGTGAACGACCCCTAAGCGGTGTGTGTAAGTCACTATGTGTGTAGCTGTGTTTAATCACAGTGACTAGTCTATAGGGCTGTAACGATACACAAGCCTCTCGATTCGATCCGGTTCTCAATATTAGCCTCTCGATTCGATTCCTTCAATTCGATTCCCAAAATATTGAAATGTTATCTTATTTTTTATATTTTCATTATTTTGCAATAATAAATTATTAGAAATTGCCAATGAATACTAAATGGTGAATAGACTAGAGAGTCTAGAGAGTATATATACACTGCACAGTCGCTGAGTAACACTGGTGAGTAACACCAGAGCATATAAATCGGTGATTTATATGCTCTGGTAACACTCCACAGTATATAACGTAGTGCCGCCATCTATTGGAGGAAAAAAGTGGTATCGAATTGGAATCGAAAATACGGGGGAAAATATCGAGGATCGGATCGAGGGAAGAGAATCTCGATCCGATTCGATTTCGGTGGATCGTTACAGATCTACTAGTTTATGCCATGAATTATCATGTCATTTATCGATGCCGGTATGAAAACTGTTAGTGTTTTTACGCAGGTTCTTCTTAGCCGTCTTATCTTGGCCGTGGCGGTTGATTTGGCCTCTAAGTAAGGACTGAACATTGTGAACATTGGAAGTGGGAGGATGTAGCATGAGCAAATCCAAAAGTAGTGGGAGCACCCAAACAGTTCCTAGTGCATCATCAATTACGCTGCCATCTGGAAAAACGCTAGCAGAAACAATTAAAGCTGTAGAGAGCCAGATTGCGGTAAGTTCATCCGTATTCTTCAAAATGCAGTGATCAGTGAGTTAGCTTACAGCTTTGGAACTTTGAAAAAATCTGCAATTTTAAATTACTTTAAAAATTACTGGGTGGGTTTAAAATTGAATAATTTTAAAGAGTAGCTGATCCAATTGCTATTCCTGAAGCTTTAGTTATAACAATGTATCAGGGAAAAAAATATAATTTATTTTTCGGGGGCTACATTTCAAGCTCGCGTGCATGAAAATAGCACTCTAAAATTTGGTTTGCATTGAACTCTATGCAAATTTCCGGGGGCTCTTTTTGGCATTTCCGGGGCTCTTTTCGGCATTTCGGGGGCTAAATCGCCCCGAGCCCCCGTGTATTTTTTTCACTGCAATGTATGTTAATCGACACAAATAAGATTAACATGATTAGACTTTGCCAGTTTTCCAGGTTCAACCTACTTGCATTGTATACTTAATTTTAAAATTTACAGGGCATGCCCAGTAGTTCAGCAACTACGGCGGGCTCTAATGCAGCGCCAGGGAATGCCAGCATTGGCACTCTTCAGAATGCAGTTGGTCAGCCAATGATTAAAACGTCGCCTGCAATGCAGACGCCGGCAACTCAATCGAGTCTTGGTGCACATTCAGCCACAGGCAGTGGTGGTGGGGACACAGGGCAGGTGTGTGCACAGCTGTGTTGACAACATATTCATTTGTGAACATGTTAGGGCCCTTGGTTCTTAATAGGGGAATTGTTGCAATACAATGATAGTGAATAAGTCGGTTTGTATTGCATTAGGCAAGTCGGAATACTTAAGTGTAGGATCAATAAAGAAAAGTCAGAGGTTTACATGCGTACAATGACATTTAACTTTTCTTTTGTGTTCGCAGATCTTGAATAAAAGGAGACTGCAGGAATTAGTCAGGGAGATAGATCCTAACGAGCAATTAGATGATGACGTAGAAGAGGTTGGTGCTCAGCAATAGCTTTGCCATGGTCAATTTCATTTTTAAAGTTTTGCTAACTACGTTGTTTGCAGTTCTCATGCATTTAATCTATGGTTTGTTGCTCTGCGATCTGCACATAACTGTACACTAGAGAGTTTTATGTTTTCATGTGGGCATAGTGATATTCAAATTGTACATAGTTGTTGTTTCTATTCTTCGTGACCATTCCAATAATCTGAATGTTAGTGTAAAGATGTAATGCGTTGAACAAGAATAAATGCATTCATATTTAAAATAATACTTGTTATTAGAGTACTCTCCGTTTTCAAGTGCATTGAATTTTTCTCGCAGGTGCTTCTGCAAATAGCCGATGATTTTATTGAAAACATTGTGACACACTCTTGTCAACTTGCAAAGCATCGACAAGCTAGTTCCATTGAGGTTCGGGATGTACAGCTGCACTTAGGTATTCTATAACGCGTGTGAAAGCTAGTGTGTACCCTGATAGATGGAAATAATATACAGTGTGTTAGAAGAATTAGTAAGTATGTGTGTGGGTGCATAATTCTTCTAGATTTATTTAGCGTTAGCCTGTTATTGTCTCAGCTTCCCATGCTTAAGATTTTCCATATAAATGACCAATTCTAATCCAATCTTTTTTCAATGAAATTTTCAGAGCGCAACTGGAATATGTGGATACCTGGATTTGGTTCAGATGACCCACGACCTTACAAGAAGTCTACCACAACTGAAGCACACAAACAGGTATGTCAGAAAGGCATTATTATTATTTTTAAATGACAAAACAATTGGCTTTTTATAAAATACGTCCATGATAAGAATTAACTGAGATCTGCTGAAATTTTAGGCAGTTTTTATCGTTTCAAATATCCATTTTATTTTAATGAATATTGCCTTGCTTTCTGTTTGTAAACTGATATCTTTCCATTTTTAGCGAATGGCTTTACTGAAGAAGAACCTGAAAAAATACTAACGATGGTATACCAGTGTGCAGGTTAGGGTTATCTTATTATTTAGCATCGTTGTGTATGCAAGGTGTTACAGATAAATTTGTAGAACAAGATTGATTGCTTGTGTCTATACATATGGGGTCATATGGGAATATGAATATGAAAAAGCCGAATATGTGCGCATACATGTACGAGAGAGTGTGAGCGTTATGGTACATGACTGCTTAAATGTGTATTTATCCTGTGCAATTTGTGCTGGATTAATATGCCCTTATTTTGATTTCATATCCTTGACGACTTAGTTGACATGCAGGGCTTGAAACTAACGCTCACTATTAGCAACACTTCTTTTTGCATGTCTTTCTATAATTACTTGGTTACTTTTTTTTAAACAATGTTGTACTTCTTTAAATTAAAAATCAGTACACGATGCATGCCACTAAGTTCCAGTAGTGTTGATCTGTTGCAGCTGCATATCCACTGTCTTCAGCCAATAACAGAAGATTAATCTCATCCCTGGATTGCCTGGCGCCATCTGTGGGGAGTGAGATTACTGTCGTCTTAGTGACATGGTCATCGGCGATGATTTGGAGAAGGTGTAGCTTGAGGTCAGTGGTAACATCAGAACTTGCTGTAGGATTTCATCTTTTTAGTGCCATTGTCATACCGATCATAAAATTAATGACCACGCAGTACTATTGTGAGTGCTGTGTGTGGAAAGGTTGTAAGAACTAATTTTGCAATAAAAACAGCTTTTGTAATGACTTGCTACGATTTTAAAGGCATACTAGGCCCATTGATTAAATGCAATGTTGACGAATGCTAGAGTAACTGGCACCTTGTGTAGTTAATAAGTACATAACCTTACATCCAAACGCGTATTAGTTTGTCCAATATCACTGCTGGTTACTAAGAAATGTCTAATTGAAATCCGCAGTCCAAGAAATCAGTTGTTTACAGTTTCAAACCGCTGCCGGCGAAGCGGGTGTGATACAGATTTATAGTGCACCGGACATTTTCGCACGCATGCTCGGCCGTACGCAATGCTATCATCAGTGATTTCGTAAATACGGACGCTCGTGATAAGGAACTTTTTGTCAGGGCTGTCCATGTGCGTCCGTGATTAGTACGTGTGTTTTACTTCATTTCCATGTTTAGTCCGAGGCCGTGGTTACACCGCTGACACCTCCATTTCATCTGGCGTCCAAAACATACGGGCCGCACAAATGTTTACGTCATCGCTTGACTTGACTTGACGGCACGTAAATGAATATCAACAACCGATTTCAAGTCTTGCTTGTAATGTAACCAGCAGTGAAATTGGACAAACTAATACGCGTTTGGCTATAAGGTTATGTACTTATTAACTACACAAGGTGCCAGTTACTCTATCATTCGTCAACATTGCATAATCAATGGACCTAGTATGCCTTTAACGAGAATCACCAACTTTAGTAATAAACTTGATTTTACTAAGTTTCTCTTATCAGTTAAGCCATGTTACAAAAATGCAGTTGTAATTTTATTACAGAAGCTGGTGATTTTATTACAAAGGTAGCGATTTTTTACAGAAAATACTGATTTAGATCAGATGTGTTATATCTTTGCTACAAATTCACAATGTCAAGACCATGTTAACTGATGTTATAGGGTCACTGATTAAATGCGAGGCAATTTTGTCTGTATGATATCGTGGAACATTCATGAAGGTTATCATTTAGGTAAATGTAAAAAAGAGGGTAATCCATGCTTCCGTGTATGTTTCATTTTTATATGTGATCGATTACTGTGTTTACGAGTGTTTTTATTAAAAATACATTAGGTATTAGGAGCTACTTAATAAAGATCATATACGGTACTTGTGCCCGATTGGACATGAGCCCGATCTACCAGAACAATTCAAAGTTCTAACGTTGAAACTTTATCCATATAAAGCAATTAAACCTGTCGATGTGACCTAGCAAACACCATACAGCAATTAGTCAAAGTTGGCATATTTTACCTGCTTGGATCTAACTTGCACACAAGGTCAGCTTGCTCAGAATTGATGTTAAAAATCTGATCAAATAAATGACCAGATTGCAGAACTGAGTGAGATCAAGGTCAGTGCTCGTACGAAACAGTCCTTAGTCTTCCTGCTCAATGTGAATGCCATGTTCTTGTGGACTTATATCAGTTTGGGAACACAACCCGCTCTTAAGTTTTGACAAAAATATTAATATCATGAGGTTGGCATTTTGTCCCAACAAGATTTATGGCATTGTATATGATTGCACGTGTACAATTCATGTTAGACAAAATACTATACTCAATGGAATTCATGTGAAGGTGGAAGTCTTCTGTCAGTGCCAACGAAGACTTCCAAGAATCCTCCGTTAATTGTTATTTTAGCGTTTTATTTTTAGCAAACGACAAATCTCATATTCGTTTATTTTTGTATGGGCACATAGTGCACTATTTATTGGTATGCTATTGAGTGTTGAGCTTAAAGCGTAGGTCGCTGATTGACGAATTTAGAGCTGCCTGAGTTATTTTTAAGTTACTAGCGTCGATATTACTTATATGTGTTGTGAGATTTACAATCAAATGTTTTACAATGTACACGTTTGTATCAGAGTTTGTTCCAATGTCTGTATTGGTGTATATGCACACACACGCCCACGCACACACGCATACATAGTTTTTTTTACACACATATTTACGCATTTTAACATATATAGTATTTAGCTTGTGTAAATATGTATTGAATAACTGGTACATTAAAATGTTAGAATGTAGATGTACTAAGCTACCGTTGCAGTCTACCTTGTATATATTGTACTAACTCGCTCTATAGAGTATAGTTTATAGCAACTAATATTAAATCAAACAATTTACCCCATAAGGTTGTACAGTAAATATTACGCATCATCTCTGAGAAACTAATTGGTTGCAAGCAAGCACTTTAGAACGTAGCAATAGCATGCAAGAAATGGTCTTGCACGCCTTTCATAACAAGATTTTATCACACGTGTAATCTTATCAAAGGGCGGTTACAAAGTTACGGTAAAGTTACGGTAAAGAAATGACTCAATAAGCTTTATTAATGACTAAACCAGGGCTGCAAAACAATCTATAATATAAATATGTATATGATATTATATATAACGATAGGCTAGTTGCGATGTTCACTGTATTGTGTGTCACCACATAAGCGATAGTAGGCAGTGTAGGAAATTCGTAGTGTCTATACTGCCTTTAATGTTGTAGTGCTATCAACTTGCTACTTAATCCTACCTATATGTCTAATATTTTATTAGAAACGTTACTAAATAAGCACGGTTAGTTGACGCACAAGCACTATTCACACAGCAACACTCATTAACTAAAATCAAAACTACGTGTATTATTTGTCTATATCCCCCACACCTCCTTCAGTGCAAGTCAGAAAATACACACGCGCACACACGCACGCGCGCATTTATTGTAAGTTTGTTCGGATGCCTTTCTCATGTACAGCCAGGTTCAGCGTAACTCTGTTCAGAAACCACTTGACCCATGGCCACATGAAAATGAGTGTGACTGGCTTTGTAATTTGAGGTTAAACTATGTAACACGTAAACGGCTACATAGTCAGCCAGCCAGTATGTTGTTGAGTTGATAGTTGATGAAATTCACTGGATAGCAGGACTACGGTAGGAATGTTAACGACTGCTATATTTGCTCTATATTCGAGAAAGTGATGATAAAATAATACATCAGTAGTATCTACGAGATGTTCATATTCTAGTTTCCCTGTGCAATAATATTTTTGCTTGTCCATATACAGCTCGTTGATGAAATTTCGTTTCTAAACGGAATTTCGTTAATAAGATATGGTTTTGCCAGAATGCTTCCGTTTAGGCCAATGCGATGGCGTTAATTGTAAAACGTATCATGATTATAGTGAAATTGTCGACTTGTCGGAGCTTTTTTGTCGTAGCTGTTTTGTTGTGAGTCGGTATGTACTGAAGACTAAACTCACTTAATTGCCCTGTTCGTACCACAGAAAGAAAATGTCTGTAGAACATGTAAATATCGAATTAAAACTCAAATGTACGTTACTTAAAAACCACTTGGCACTACTCATATTGCTATTACTACTATCACCAGCGCTACCATAATAATCGAGTTACGTTTTTTTCCCGTGTGTAAACTTGCATTTTCCTTTACTTTTGTTTAGCTCATAACAAGATTTAGCTTATCTCACATGTGGTCGGACGTCACTTAATTGTAAGACGTCATATTTCATAAATGGCAAGGTTCCTTTTTCACGATAGCGAAACATATTTATAATGAATCCTATCAAAAGCCCTAGAAGCAGCAACAGCAGTAATAACAATAGCACCGGTGACCGATGGCAGTACAGTAAAAACCCGCGTATAAGAACATAGATTTTAAGAACATGTTAGGCTAAAATTTCCCATTTAGACCCCTTTACATAAGAACCTGTTTTAGGCTAAGATTTTAAAGTAGGTTCTTAATTTTCCATGCAGATGAAGACTTAAAAAGAAACGCAGGTAAAATAAAAAAGACGAGCTCAACAATATCAGGAGTTAATAATAGACAAATTGTCTATTATTAACTCCTGACAATATCGATGCAATAACAATGCCAATGCCAATGCTCAACAATAACAATGCCAGCACCCTGGCATTGTTATTGAGACACAGTACTGCATTATTTACATATACAGTAAAAACCCGCATAAAAGAACACGTCGATTAAGAACACTCAGGCTGAAATGCGGTCAAAAAATTGCATATACATAAGAACACATTCAGCCTGAAAAATAAAAATTGTTCTTATATAAAAAAAATATATAAACTCTCCATATAACACCTTACACATAACACTACTGTACTGGTAACACATGCATCACAGTCACTAAGCCCGCGCATAGCGCGGGTTTCAGCTAGTAGGGCCTACATATTAAAAGTAGAAACAATTAAGAACCTATTTAAGAACCTTTTGAGCCTAATTTTTCAGTAAGCACCATTTATATAAGAACATGTTGAGGCTAACTTGGAAAAATCTATGTTCTTATACGCGGGTTTTTACTGTAGTAGCTAGTAACAGTAGCGACCGAAGTAGGTTACAGGGGTTTCAGTGGCAATTAATGTAGCAGTGTTAGCACGCGCATAATGAATAAAAACACGTTTTTATTTACTTCTGATTACATGTACATTTTATTGATATTTACATTTTTTTATTATCGTATATGATAGTATCACCTATTATACACTCCTGATAGTATGTTGTATGGATATGTTCACGGTATTAGTGTACACAGTAACAGCAGCTTACAACAATGCTTAGCTGCAAGGTGCCGATATCGAGTTGAAGCCCCTTATTACCCCCCCCCCCCCCGCCCAGCACCTGCACCCTGGCTGCCGTACGGCATCTGCCCTACCGCAGCAGATGGAGAATGCTCGGCGTATATTTATGGAAGTGTTCGATTTTTATCTTATTCAATCAGTGTAATACTGCCTCTAGGAAATTATATAGACGTGGGTTTTGTCTCGTTGCAATTGCATGGGTGTTTTGTATGATGTAAACTAATTTTGATTTGCCGCGGTGGCGGGCATTTCAGTTTAGGCAAACCGATGTAAAATGGGCTCATTTGATCTTACCATCATGCCCACGCACACACATGCATACCTATAAACTGTTATTAGCTGTATATATATATCGAGAGAGAGGGGGGTCGATTCAGGGGCGTGTACAGGGGAGGGGGTCTAGGGGGTCCGGACCCCCCCCCTGCTCGCGTAGAAAACGCATCTAAGGGGGTCTAATTTCAAAAAATTTCTGGGGGAGTGCCCCCCAGA